GAGAGAGAGAGAGGGCTTTGGCCTCTTTTGTTTTGCAGCTTAGGAGAAAAGTCAGGGATCAGCAGAGGTTCGATCCTAACCCTAACCCACTCTTCAGCCTGAAGCTAATTGCTCTTGTACATGTTGGGAAATGCCCGACAAGGCAAGGAGGAGTCGTCAAGCAGGGAACTAGCCTTGAATCCTGGCGTAGTGGCAAGAGGCATTAGCCTATCTGTCTTTCCCCAAGGGAAGGTGAGCGGTCTGGGAAGATTCTTGTACTACAAGTAGCGGACAACACAGCTGTTGACCTGGACCTTTCACTAGTCCATCAGCCACGAAGGAAGAAACCGGGTCTCCGAGGCCCAGAGACCTTCTTACCTTTGGCTTTTGCATTCCGTCTTCTTCTGTCTTTTTCCGCCGCTTGGTCTTCTTCTCTTTCTTCTCCCGATGTTTGCGCCGCTTCTTCTTCCCCACCCCTCCATAATCACTGCCACCGCTCTCCGACTTGGCCCGGTACTCCTCTCGGTCGGACTCAAACTCATCCTCACTGACCTGCCAAGGGGAAATAACAAAAGCTAACAACCCAGAACCCAAAGTAAGCGAGATCGTTAGCATTAATTAAGGACGAGCCTCCCTGCTGAGCACAGAGAAGCTCTCGTGCCAGGACCACAGTCGCCCCATTGTGTCATAATTTCATTGCGACATAATGACTTGGCAAACAAATAAAACAATTTGGGGTGTTGTTGGGTGGTTTTTTTTTTTTGTCAATGTGAAGAGGAGATTCAGAAAAGCTTTCATGGCAAAGAGGATTTGGCCGGGTTTGGCTGAGGGTAAGAAACACTGAAGGGTTTCTATCACTCTACACCAGGAGTGGGGAAAGACGCACAGGATTCCTGAGCATGCCACGCGTCTACGTCCATAGGTTGCAAAGGGGCCGCTGTTCCCCACCCCTGGCCTACACAGATATTTATTTGTTTGACTCATTTCTATAGCCACCCCTCTTCAGAAACATATATTACAATATAAAAATCTTAAAAACCCCTTAAAACAATAAAAACGACACAATGCACAGTTCTAAGTGCGAACGAATGGGACGGAATGGAACAGAGAATGGGATGGGATGGAATAAATAGAATACAATAAACAGAATATAATTGAACATAGAAAATAAGAGGACAGAATGGAATGGAATGGAATTCTTTATTGGCCAGGTATAAGAACAGATTTTACTTGGGGCCATTGCGTCATTAAAAAGGAAAAGGCAGGTTATTTTTGCTGTTTCATCCATTCGCTATGCCTCTGATCCAGCCAGAACCTTCTCAAGAACAGCATTATTTATTATTTATTAGGAGCATTTATATAGCTACTGAAGTCACTCTTGGTGACTCTGGGAGGGGGCTTGCAAATACAACACCCTGGTACAAAAAACCCCAATCAACCCTTCAGGCAGCAGCAATTGTACTAACCCCTTGAGGGTGTAATTCTGGGGTCTCCAGGCCTTGGAAAAGAGCATCAATGCAGGGGGCAATGTTATCTCTGCAGGGAGGGAGCCACCACGGAGAAGGCCCTTCTCCTGGATCCCACCAGATGGACCTCCTCAAGAGAGGGGACCCCTGGCTCCCTGCTCTGCTGGGTCACATCGATGTAACTGGGAAAAGTGGTCTGGGGCCAGGTTATTTGAAGGACCCTCTTCTCCCAGGGACCACCAGGACCTTGAATGGGGGCCTGGGAGGAAACTGGCTCCCGCAAGGGAGGCGACGCAGGCTCAAATCTAGGCTGGCACAACTTTGAACCGCATTTTGACCCCATGGAAGCATCACTGGCACGACGTGAGGCCCAACTCCCCCATGAGTTTATTCCTGGGTGAAAACAAAGGCCAGAAATCCTGCCGTGGATGGGCCAAGCCAAGCTTTCCGTTCTCCCTACCCGCTCCCCGCCAAAAATTGTTCTCCTCTACCTAAGGTCAGAAAAGGACACAGAAGTCCAAATTCGGTGGGTGAATTGGCTTTACGTAACTGATTTCTCACCGAAGTACCCAATCAGCAACCACGATACGACGTTAATGGGGTCCGCACGGAAGAGAAGAAAAGGCTTGGCTGGAATGACTTACTAATTTTTTGCGCTTCCTGGGTTTCCCCGGCTTGTTATCCTTCTGCTTTTTCGGCCCTCGTTTCTTCTTCTTGACGACGAGGGGACTCTCTAAGCTGCACAAATCCTCCTCTTCGTTGTCTGGAATACAAAACAGGGGGAAAGGATCCCCTCATGTCAACAACAACCACCACAACAACAGCAACAACGAAAAAGGGAGACAGAAGGAGAAAGAATTCCCTCGCCTGCTCTGAGACCGCTTCAGTGCCACTTCTGGGCTCAACAGCGAGGGGCATGAGTGGCCCTCTTGGAGCCTGGCCGCCGACCCTCCCTCCCTCCCTCCCTCCCTCCCTCCCGCTGCCACTCACACCACAGCGCGGAAAGGGCCAGGCAGGGAAGGGCAGCACGGGAAGGCTGAGATTTCCTCCGAGAGGAAGGTCCTGGGTGGCCTCTCGAGTTTGGGGGTTTCCCTGCAGACATTTCGTGGCCCAACTGGGGAACATCGCTGGTGCTGATTAACCCCTCTAGCACTGATGTGGTTACCCAGCTGGGTCATGAAACGTCTGGAAGGAAATGACCAATCTCAGGGTCTCTCCCAAGGACCCCACAGTTCTCCTCCTCTTCCTTTTCCTCCTCCTCCTCCTCTCCACAAACCCCACTCCCCTTAGGGAAGGGAGGGAGGGGGGGAGGGGAGAAAGAAAGGAAAGGAAAGAAAGAAAGTGGGGAAGGGAGAAAGAAAAAGAAACGAGAGGGAGAGAGGGAGAAAGAGGGAAGGGAAAGTGAAAGATATGGATGGATGGATGGGTGGATGAATAGAGGGAGGGAGGGAGGGAAAAAGGAGAGGAAGGAAGGACCACAAACCCTGGCATTAGACGCAGCTTCGGAGGATGTTTTGAAACAGCAAAGCAATCCAGGGCTGGAAGGGAAGGGACCTCAGAGCTCATCCAGTCCAAACCCCTGCTCCAAAAGCGTTGTGGAAGCGAGGTTCTCTCTTTTGACCCACTCACTCACATAGCCACAAGCCACGGCCACAGAACCGGTAGTAAAAACATTTGAACCCCACCGCTGCTTGTAGCACTGATGATGTCACATAGTTGGATCGTGAAACGTCTCCAAGAAAGCCACCAACTTCACACAGCCCCATAGTTATCTTCCTCCTCCTCCTCCTCCCCCCGCCCTTCTTCTCCTTCCTCCATTCCACAAATCCTTCTGCCGCCAAGGACGTTCCTTAGCTGGGCCACTCAAGGAAACAACCCAGCTCAGACTGGCAAAGAACCCCCACCATTCCACCCCGGGTATTCTCTTCTATTCAAATCCAGCGTTGTCACCCTGGTCCAGACAAGTTGGGTGACTATTTCCGCTTTTTTCATGTGTGTTTTTATTCTCCACGCTACTTTGTAGAGCTTGGGAGAGACCCCAAGCTCCTTCTCCTGTCTCTCCTAGGCTTATTAGGAATGACGAAAAATGTACTTAGCAACACGATGATCTCTAGAAAGGGGTCAGGCTTCAAATTTCCCAAGGCCTGGCGGGAGTGTGGAGGGTCACACGCAGCAGGCCAGACCCTTGAAGGCTGCAGGTGTGGCAACACAACGTAACTCCTTAATAGGGGTCACCGGGGCCAACTCCCCTCTCATCGCCCGTTGTTGTAAATCAGAACCAACCCCATCTCACGGCCGCAGAAATGACTTCGCCGTATTAAAGATGGAAGAGAGGCCATTAATTCCGCACCCCCCCCCGGGGGGG